GATGATCCGGAAAGATTTCGGATCATCAAAACTACGATACGATTCTCTCTCTTTTGCTGCATCACAATGATAGAATTTCAAAATTAATGAATTATTGTCGAAACGTTGTCTTCCTGACAACCATAACAAAGAATTCAATTTATAAATATGCAAAAAATAAATTCCAATTTTTCATAAATAAAAAAAAAGACAGAAAAATTAGTAATAAAATTTTAAATAAAAATATTTAAATTTTATGAAATAATTTTTTGCGAATTATTTTGCTAAAATTTTTGAAGAAAATTTATTTCATTCCAAAAATCATAAATATGCCATTTCGAAAAATTTTATTTAACACAATGATTTAATACATAACAATGCATATATATATATATATATATATACAGGATATATCGGGGGAAAGAAAAATGTCTGGTAAAGAATCAATTTCGAATGACAATAAAGAAGAGAAATCTTAAAAGAAGAAAAGACAAGAGAGAAGAAGAGGAGGGAGAGGGGGGTTAAAACCTTATGGACCGTTAACTTGGTTAATAACGGGGTTCATTCCTTATTACTTCCTCATCTTTTTTTTTCCTCCTTCCTGCCACCCTTCTCCCCCGCCCCCTGTCGGGTTTTCCTATTTGTCGGTTTTACATCAAAGGAAGCAAAATGTAAAAAAATGGGCTTTTTGTGTTTTTTCCTTTTTGTTCTACTTTTTTGATTTCTGTCTATTTTAAATATTGAATGAATGAATGAATGGGAAGTAATATGAAAGAGAATTTTGAAAATTATCAATGATAACATCAGTGATAATATCAGAAAGGTAAAAAAAAATGATTTAATGGTAAAACAAAATTTGTTCAGTTTTTATTTTAAATTTAATTTCAAATTCATTGTTTCTTATTTTTCATGTCATTTAAAAAAATAAATTAAATCTTTTCTTTTGTCTTATACCATAAATTACTCGCTTCCATTGGAATTGAAATGAAATTTATATAAGTGAATTTAAATTGAAATTACAGTTTGTTGAAATTTAATCGAACTGAAATTAATTTGGCATAAATTCCTAAAAAATTCATGAGAATGTATTTTTGCAAAAAAGAAACAGATTATTTGAAATTATAAGTATTTTAAGTTGAAATGTAAAATTACAAAATGTTGTTTTTAGTACGAAATAATAAATCTTTACTAATTATCGTAAAACAAATGGAATGGATTCGATGAAAAGAAAATCAAAGAAATAATTTGCTAATAAAATTCGAACTGTTCTTTTACTTATAATTTCTTTTAAATAATTTAAATTCTCTTTCTTATTCTCTCTCTCTTTTTCGTTTATCAAATAAAACGAAATCATTGTGATCGTTGGAATGTGTAAAATTCGTTGAATACAACATATTAGCTTATTTTTTCAATAGTTGACAATAGTGATATATGTATTAGTGAATTATATGTGAATGGAAATGATCACGTTTAAATAAAATTTGGAAAAAAATAGGTCACGTATATCACGTGGAAATTCATTTTTCATAAATGGTGACATTTTGATGAGCAATAAAAGATCACGTGAGTGGAAATGATCGTTCACGTTTGGTTAAAAGAATTTGTGGAAAGTTAATCATATACGTTACGGGAATTTTCGTTTGTCCTTATAACAACGTAAACTTACGTGTAATCATAGGATACGTGTGATATAACAAAAATTTCATTTATATATGAAATGAATATGATCATAGTGAAATAATATTAAATAATCATAATCATAATCACGTGCGGTGATAAGCAATTACAATTAAATTATTGATATCTAATAATGTTGAATAAAAACAAAAAATTTACATTACTAATCTGAATTCAATGATCTAAATTTAAACTTATTCATTTTAAATTTCAATTCTTTTCTCACTTTGCTATTTACAAAATGCATATTATGTAAGCAATGTAAATAAGGAAAAAACTGAATAAAGAGAGGAGAGAGACAGAGAAAAAAAAGAAGAGCGTTTTAATTTGCATATAATGTAATTTAAATTAAATGTTATCAAATGTCAACAATAATTTGCCAAGACTGAAACATTGGTGATAGGGTTAGTGATGAATGAATAAATGAACGAATGAAAAGATAAAAGAGAGAAGATAAGATATATAATGAGTGCATAAATGATAAGTGAAATTTTGTTGAATGATATGATTGAATGATACGAGATAGAATGATATGATTAAATGATATGAGATAGAATTATCTCAAAAATGTTAAACTTATCAGATAATACAATTATCACTTTGACAAGTAATTTATGAAAGATTACTGTTTTATTTCTACTCGATGAAGATTACCGACAAAATAAATCCTGAGTGTTCTTTGTGGTCAAACTTTCATATAATTGGATATTAGCATAACTTAATCTATCACATTGTTTAGCATAACTTCTTAATCTATCACATGGTACTATGGTATAGCATATTAGAAGGGATACTAAGCTCAATTTCATCCCTTTTTTCGATATAACGTTTCATTCTCTTGAATGTTTGCATTTTAAATAAAATTTGAGAAGAAACTGATAACTGGTTAAGAAGGCTTGATAGGCTCAGTATGATCACACTTCATATATTATCATTCATTAGTAACATTCTAATCATAGCAATTTAAAAAACCAACTACTTTTCGGGTAATGCTTACACACGGTTAAATAACTATAATATATATGTATCGCCAGAATTATTTGCTGCAAATAATTTTTTTTAATTTTAATATATCAAAGAGAGAAACTTAAAATCAGATTGAATAGAGCATGTAGTAGGAAGCAGCAGTATTGACAGGATAATTTTCCGACTCTTTATCGATTTCAGATATCCTATGAATACAAAATCTATGCATTTTGAACTTCAATAGATTTATTCACACAATACGATGATAAATGGTTTTGAATCCCTAATTAATTATATACATCTATATATATATATAAACAGGGAAAAAAAACGGATGCATCGGCCGGGAATCGAACCCGGGCCGCCCGCGTGGCAGGCGAGCATTCTACCACTGAACCACCGATGCTACACAATCATACTTCCCCGCATTTTACTAAAATTGAGCTTTTTCAAATTTATCAAAAACCCAGCTGCAAAGGCTTTTGCACTAAAAAGTTATTGAACCGAAACGATCACGTGCAGTTCACGCAACTTAACCTATCGCCTCTTCCACTCATTATGCATCACAAAATTAATGCTAAAGTATTTGACTAATTTCATCGCTTATGAGGTTATATAACTCTTTTTGGAACAAACATATTTCGTCTGTTTTTCATTTGCATTGTTGCCATTGTGGAAATTTCAACAAAGCGAATTGCGCATGTAAAATTTAGATATTTCCGTTAAGCATAATGCTACCAATGCTTCTGATTCCTATCAAATGAAATAACATAATGCCGTTTTCAATAACTTATACAAAATTTCTTTTTAGATTCAAAAAATTAGCGATCCAACAACCTTCTGTCCCAGCTTTTTAAAAGATGAAACTGATAATGGAAGAAGCTATCGACTAACTATTATATATTTCAGTTTGTTTGCTCGGATCACTTTCTTTTCTTTTGTCTGTTTGTAATTTAACTTCCTTCTTCCCTCTTAAATATAATAAAATATATGATTTGAAAACTCTACGTTAAAAATTAATATAATGTGGAACAAACATAGAGTTTGGTAAACTCTTTCGTCAACAATATTGCATTATTATAAACATCTAAGTGGGAATCAATCAATCTTTGAAAATTTACCTTTTTAAGTTCAACTGAATTAAATGAGCAAGAGAATGAGATATGAAACAAACATACAACTAAAGTAGTAATTGATTTGAAAATAACCGTGAAAATACATCACAATAAAGCCATATATTACAAGAAAAAGAGTTTGCGACAGTCATAATAACGATGATGATATTATGCAAAAGAAGGCATATCGTTTTATTGGTTTAAAAGGTTTAAAAGAGGAATAGATATTGGTTTAAAAGAGAAATAGGGAAACCAGCGAAATTCTTTCGAATCCAATAAACTAGTACACATTTAGTAGACGAACGATATTAGGCTCACCAATTTGGAATTTTCAAAAATTTCAATTCCTACAAACAAATTTACAATATAAATGCAACTGACCCTTCAAATATTCCTCGATATTTGTCGCATTCGAACATTTTTTTACTAAGATCATTTATGATATTCAATATCTTCATTGCTAACATCATGCAACTGCATAATTGAATCATTTCATTTCATCGGATAATTCATGAGAAATTTGAGCATTTTTAGAATAACAGGAAGAAACATAGGGCAGAAAGGAACAATTTAGCTGTTACTCTGATAGATAAAATTCATCCATGTTTAGAAAAGGAAGTTCACCATGATATCTTTTATCCTCCTTGCCAACCCGGTTTTTTTCATCAATCCCACCGTCTATGCTTTTATTGTAAGTTAAGTGATATTGATGATCAATTAACTATTTTGATGAGCTGAGACACAAACGACAGCAGTAATAATAGAGATACAATTTTGAACAGTGATTGAAAGCTCATAAGAAAGTATTATACAATTTTCCTAAATAATCGAAGTCTTTCATATAATGGCAGATTCAAAGACTAATGATGAAAGAACTATTGGAAATTTTCTTTCAATAAAAAGAAAAAAGATACTGATGTACTTTTCAAATCAGTTAATGCCTAACTTAAATGCATTATGCACTAACGATAAAATTTTAAGGAAAACAAAACCTATATATTTAAGAGAATTTAGTGAATATAACAAAAAACGAAAAAAACGGATCTATATGAATTAAAAGTAAACGCTTTAAATTTACAATTCAATCTAAAATGAATTCGAGATCCATATCAACTATAATCTGAGATCCATTATATCTTTTTTTCTTAAGACCACTTTTCTCATCTATCAAAAAAATGATATATAAATAAATCTTAAAAATTAAAAATATCGAAAGGCAACGATTGGAATAAAGGAAGATGAATCGTCCAATTCGAAGAACTTTCAAGTTCCGCTACTGTCATCACTTGTACACTCGACCAAGGGAAAATGCTTCGGCTCCCACTAAATTGAAATTGCCAGAAAGCTATCAAATTCACTGTGTAAAACAATTAGGGTAATGAAACATCATCATTTTCAATTACCAAAGAACTGCTACTGAATCTGGAAGTGGGCTATTCACATCGAAAATCTCCAAGCCAAATTTAAATCAAGTCCTATACAAGAGTACGATGAATAATTCGTCCACAAATTAATTTTTTTTAGTTACTGGCATCGGCGAGTCAGCCGTTCAACTCTAGAAATTAAGTTTCAGTGAATCGCAAATTTCACTACTGGTTCCAAATGACTATTTTAGCACATTTTGTTTGGCTTGTCCGAAACTCCTGGAACATATTTCTAGTCGTATTTCCATCCGCATTCTCAAACTGTTCTCAACGTTATTTAATCTGACGATTTTTTCTAGGGAGTAGTTGCAATTACTTGAAACTATGTACGAACCTTTAAATTATCTTCGTCGATCCAAATGCGTTTTGTGTCATTTTCTGCTTTTGCCCAATGTGATTGTACGAGATCCTTATTGATAATGAAGGACTTTCTAGAAAAACAATATGTAGTGCTCTACAACAACGAGCTCATATAATAAACCCAGATAAAATATGATCAAATTCAATGAATCCATTAGATATTTGTGTTTATTTAGCAATACATATTATTTATTCACGTCTGTGGAGTTTTGTACTCCCCATAACCAATCAGTATTTGAAAAGAATATATGAATAAAATAAATATGTGACAAAACAATGCAAATATAAGTAAATAAACGGAAACTAAGTATATAAGCAGAAAAATATGTAAATAAGCAGAAACTTAAGGTGAAGTACCGCCAATAACTATAGAATCACGTACATTTCTCCCTTTTGATCGAAGTGAAACATATTTAGATCTTTCATCGTCTGCAAAATATCTTCTACTGAAACGCCCGTGGTTTTCGCAATATCTAAAAAAATATTTTCATACAAACATTTAAAAGTTGCTAAAATTCTCTATATATAGGAAAATAATAGAGATGATGCTTTATCTTTGTACTAAAAACAAATGAGAGTCGAGAAAACACACAGCGCTCACCTGCAAGTGTCAGAACTGTAGAAGAAGCAGAGCTTGGTCTTTTGAAATATTCAAGTACAATACTACGCCAGTAGCTTTTGTAAGCTAAATTACCCATGTCAGAGAGTGGCCGCTCCGGTGTTCCCGTGGTTCCTTCTCGGCGAGACAAAAGAAAACCTGAAGGAATAATGAAACAAATCAGAAATTAATAGTAGTAATTAAACTTACTAGAAACTATTAATAAAAAACTGACCCTTGACTTGAGAATTTTATACTATTTGAGCCCAAAAATAAATAGGATATATGAAAAGTTGATAGATAGAAATTCCAGACCAAAATTTAGCAAAAAAACCAAAACTTACTGAAATCGATCAAAAAACGTCCGTAACCTTTGTTCCGATATGATGGTAGAGTAAGTATGCAAGAAAGATTATTTTCTAAGCTGCACTTCTGCTGAAAAAATCCTACTTTTAAAACATCTAACGGACCTGCAGAACATGCCGAACACCAAGCTTAGAGTCCATCAAAATCCATAAAATACTAAAATCATGTATATATGCTGTGAAACATTAGACATTATTTGAAAAATAAAACTTTACTCCGTTATTAAATAGAACTTCTACAAGCATTCGTATATAATGATTTTGAAATCGAAATAATAAACCAAGAAAAATCCAATCAACCTTTAACATCAGCATCTCCTAACCTTGCTAAAATAACCTGCTAGATGGCAACCGGTTGAATTCCACACAGTTAAAACATAAAAGAGAAATGGTTCAACATCATAAAATAACGTTTTATGATCGATGAAAAGTTTGGCTAAGAGGCATAAATTTTGACTGTAGCCTTTGGCAATATTTCCATCAACCTGAAATCAAAAAATTTATATAGATATGAAATTGAAAAAGAGGATGACAGTCAGCCATTACAAATTATTTGCTCGGTTTTTTTCTTAATTAGACATTAGCCAGGTTCATTTTGTCGGCTAACATCTGGCGGTATCAGCGTAAACTACAATCACTACTGTTCCAAACTGCGATAAGTATTCCCTGTTTTGGACGGGTTGAAAAAATTTACTTCGAATAATGAAATATCGTCTTGACGAAAGATTTCATCGCCAGGTGGAAAATTCATCCAGCATTTACTCTGCAATTTTCAATAAAATATATTCATAAGATGAACGAAAACCGAAATGTGAGATAAAAATACTCGACACTGTGGCATTGCATTGAGCTAAATATTAACATGATAACAAATAAAAAAGTCTATGTTAATTAGTTTAATTAATTCAAATTAAATCATGAATTCAATAGCAGAAAAAAAAAACAAACAACTAACTGCATGTCTTTCCAGTGTCTCTTCGCTTTCCTTGAAATCCAAGCACTTTTCACACACGTAAATGTGCCCCTTCCTAACAAGCTCTAATGGTAACGGTGAGGTATACGGTGGTTCTAGTTCAAAATCACCAATTGTTATTGTGTGTATCCGTGGAAGAACTAATAATTCGTGAGATAAATCCTAAAAATAGAAATAATTAATCAATTAATATGGGAACCATTTTGGATTACTTCTCCTCGCAATTACTTCGCCTTTTCCAAACTTTCGCAAAATCTAACTATGGACAGCATAATTAATGAATGCATAAAAAGAGATGGTCCGAAAGTAATAAAGTAACCCTTGCACAGTTTAGCGCAAAATTAAAAAATCGGTATTCCTACTGAATATATCAGTTAAACTTCATATATGAAACTTACAGAACTTGTAGCCTTGTGAGATTCTTTGTGTACCCGTTTCTTCCTCGGACTTTTCACACACTGGACACGCTCGCCTTCTAAATAAGCGTGAGTTTTGCATGATCCCATCTTTAACGGACTCCCATTTTCCTGCAACTATTTCAATTACTTGTATCAAATCACAGAACTGAATCTGATTTAGTTTAATTTCAAACGAAATGAATGGGAGAATCGCAAAAACAATTCAAAAACAACTGCATAAAAATTGCTCATGAGATGTTTCAAAAGTTAAGCGAATTCACCAAGCTTGATGAAGTGCAAGCACTCAAATCATATCTTGATGAACTATCAGGTGTACTTCCAGTTACAGGCAACGAAGCTTCGGTATCGCCTGGCGGTGACTTAGCAACTAGTGGTACACCATCCAACAAGTCACCGGATTCAACGAAGGCTGTTTTTTCGGTTCTGTTACCCTGAAATGTGAGTAGAAAATGTAATGTGAGTAGAAAATGTGATTCTAAATGTGAGTAGAAAATCACAAACGAAAATAAAAATCAAAAAAAATATGAGTAAAAGTCTCAAATGAAATTCAAATAACTGTTTAAATTGTTCAAATAACTATTTCAAGATCCAGCACAAAGAAAAAATTTTATACAATTTTCGATTAAGATGAAAGAAAATCGGAACACAATTTACCACTTTACTTTCGTTTTTGTTGCAAGTTGTATCAGTGGTTGCAAAATGCCTGAAAATAAAAGGGGAGGATACAAATTATAATAAAGGATTTATCACAGCAAGTTTATCGTTACTATTGGATTATCTGTAAGAACGAGAGGATTCCTCTCGCCTTTAATGCTGGTAATGATAATGTTGAGAGGTTTTTCAAAATAATTAGAATTGGGAAAGAACAGAAAAAATATCTTGAAAGACCACAAATAACATTCATAATTCAAACTTTTTGTTGATCAAAGTGCCCCGTTTTCTACCAATATATCTCGATATGCTTACTCATCCATTGTTTCTGATGCATTAACGGAAGAACGCTTTCGAATTTTCAATGATTTGTGAAGTGACAGTGGACATGCTTCAAATGAATTCATCAACTCTGCTTCACAACTTGTTCCATCTAACGACGAACTGGTGCCTAACATCTGCAAAAATGAAATCAATTCGATGCCACATATTCGATTACTACTTAAATTCCACAAAATTTTTGGCTAGAGCGTTTTATTTAATAATACCATATGCCACGTAATGTATTAAATCTCATAAATTTCCCGACAGAACTGCTTGGTTAAGCGAATAATACTACTGATCAATTTAATTACATAGTGATCTGAACTTTTGATCTTAGTTAATCAATATCGGACATTATTGAATTATTTGAACTTTCTGCTTTATATTTCTGATTTATACTCTTCTAAACCAAAAGAGAAGAATGATTCTTCCGATTGTAATGATTTACTTATCGTTTCTAACAAAAAAAAAAATTCATAGTTCAAGAAATAAATCAACGCCACTGTAAGGTGTAGATCATCTTTACATGATACTGCATGAACTAGCCATAATATTCAGCTTTGATGTACGTTCGGAGAGAGCATAATCTATCTTTTTTATATTCCTATAACTCTTTTTCTTTACATCATGCCAATCTTTTTATAGACTTATAAAACAAGAAACCTTATCGTCGGAAACTTTATGTGACTCATCATCGGATTCATGATAAGAATTGCATGATTTCCAAAATTGATCAAGCGTTGTCTGCCTTCTGTTATATAATTTGAACTTTTTTTTCATTAACTATATTTTTGCCTTTCTCAGATTTTTCCGTCCCTTAAAACTTCACATTTTCACGTCGTTCTAACATTAAATGAATTTTAAATCGAGAAACAAAAAAAATTAAATTTTATATCAAATCATAAGAATACAAAAAACAACCGTATATGTGCGAATAAGAATACGACCAGGAAATGAATATGTCACTCACAACAATAAAGTTTTACAGAAATTAAAACAAGAATGATATAAGAACACCTATATATACATATATATGCGGCATCCCAACTAACACTTCCCATATTCAGACCATCTGCAACACCATTCTTACATTTCTATTTATGGGATCGTTATGAAAATTCGTCTATTTTATCTTATGATTATTGCTAGAAATGTACAAGAGTTAAAGGTTATGCTCTGCTTGATGATTCAAATTATTTATGAAATTTTGCAGAAGTAAATTTAAGTCTGAAAACGAACTCTAATTCATACATTAATAGAGGTCTGAAAATATACGCAAGGTAATGTTGCAGATCAGTTAGACAATGATGATAATAATAAATTGCTTGTGATCTGATAAAGCAAAAATTTCCTCTCATCCGGCAAAACAGGAATATGAGAAGATCGTTCGGCGATATTGTTCCTTTTTACGGCTCTTCTTTTCTATATATAATTCAGTTTTGTATTTTCATTTAATTCCTATATGATACGATAATTTATATTTCTTTCACTTTAAAACTATGTTAAATAATAGACTTCTGTTATTATAAATTCATTTATAAAATTTACAGAATTCTTTCATTCATTTATAAATTTTATGTTTTATTTTTTGAATTTGTATTAACAGAAGTTAAAATTTAATTTGGAAATATTCTTTTTCTTCTCGGAAAAAATTAATTAATGCAATAATTGTAAATGTATTAAATTTAATATTAATTTAATATTGCCGACCAGTTTTGTATATTCATTTAATTCCTACACAATACGATAATTTGTTTTTCTTTAAAAACAAAAGTAAAAATTTGCATATTTTCTTTTAATAGAGCATCATTGATATACGAGGTCAGCGTGTCATCCAAAATAATGCGCGGATTCCTTTATGTGACATGACCTTTTTCTTTCTCTTGCATGCAGATGAATTTTTATCTAATTTAAACTGATTTTCGATATTTGATCGTCTATTTTTTCTCTTCGATAAGTTTTTTTTTCTCTTTCATTTTTCTGTTAATTAATTGTTTTAATTCATTTTGTTAATTACAAATTTGATTTTAATTAGTAATTTCTTCATAAAGAATGAATTTTTAAATTAATTTTCAAAAAACTTTAAATATTCGCTTGTTCGCAATGCATAGTTTTATAATTTATTTATTTTTTACTTCATTAATTTTTCCTTTTTTCTTTTGATATTGTTTTTTTTAATATATGAATTGTTAAGTTTGATATGTAATCAATCCTGGAAAGATATTATGCAAATTATCTATTGATATTATTCTTTGTCCTTTTTCTTGTTTTTTTTTAACTTTTCAATTATTTGGATATTAATAGTATGGATGGTTATACCGGAATGATTCAGTTCCGGAAAAAGTTACATAACAGGAAAACAATGATAAGACATTCTATAGCATTGCGGTCTTTCTTTTTATGATCTTATGTGAAATTTGTATCCGTTTGTTACGGAATGTTAGTATGCATTTTTCCCTGCTATTCTTTAATGAATACATTTTGCTCTCTTAATTATTATAAATGAAAGAGAATGGGTACATATACTATAGCCTTTGGAGCTGTTCCCTTACTACTAACTAGTTCCAAGTTCAATATAGTTACTACATCATCGTATTTCCGGTTAATATATCAATAATGTTTTAGTCGGTTGATGTGTATGTGTGTGTGTGTGTGTGTGTGTGTGTGTGTGTGTGTGTATGTGTTTTTAAATCATCATTTATTTTCTGGGAATGAAATTAGCTAGAACCTTTTCGGTAGGTTCTACTTTTAGATGATTTTTGGCTATCGGAGCCTGAGGAACTATGCTTTCTGACCCCTGCACGTGATTGAGATGTTTCACCGAATGATTTTGGCGAAATTTCTTCACTTGATAAGGATAACTTGTTACTCTGCGAATTTAGCACTGCTGTATGTGCACTACTGCCAGATGATTTTTCAGCAGCGAAAGTCTAAAATGGAAATAAAATATATGTTTATTATACAAATGCCAAATTTTAGTAGTAAGAATTTTTTGGGAATTAAAATAATGAATGAAAATTTAAAACAATACTCGATAAATATCCTCCAAATATTCTCGTGCTTGCTTAGCTGTAGGTCGTTTTGAAGGATCGTGATCCCAACATCGTCGCATCATTGTTATCATCGATTCGGGCATATCATCTGGACTTGGTAAACGATAACCAGCCATTACCTTAATCATTGATTAATTATTATTAATCAATTTATTTAATCTTGCATAAATGATCTCTCTCTCTCTCCCTCTCTCTCTCGTTATTCTATTATCCAATTTGATTTAAAATTCCAGCTAAATTTAAATTTTAACGAAATAAAATTACCTTTTTGTGAAATTTTATGAATCAAAATTACCTTTTCCTTAACTTTATACGCTTTCCATGTACTATAAGGATGAGTATACGGTATCGTAAACAATTCCCAAAGTGTTATCGCAAATGCATAAATATCTGTGCAGAATCGCGTTTCACCAGAACGCCATACCTGTAAATTTTAATTTAATTCCTATCGAGTTTTTGATAGGAATACAAAAACATTTTAGATTACGAATATTTGTTCCCTTTATGAATAGGTTTTTGTTTTTCGTATTTTTCACTGCAATTATCTAATGAAATGGGCCTTTTCTTCAGTAACCTATAAACGATTGATTGAAATCTTAAACTTTCATTAGTAATTTTTAATTAAACAAATCAGTTTGAATGTAATGTGAACAAACATATAATTCTCAAATGGCAAAAATATTATTCTCAAATTTAGTTTCAAAATTAAGAAATACTATTAACGGAGTACAAAAAAAGGGTAATACTATTAATAGATTTTGTTTCAAAATTAAGAAATGCTATAAACAAATTAAGTTTCTGAAAAAATCAAAAAGTACTATTATCTATTATCTATTACTAATTAAGAAATGCTACTAATAGTAATAATTCGTAATACTACTTTAGTGTTTTTATATTTAAATTTTTTTTTAAAATATCTTACCTCAGGTGCAAGCCAGCGAACGTTCTGTGGTTTCGAAAGGTCAATTTTATAAACAAGCGTTGCTCGACACATCCCAAAATCGGCTAATTTGACAACCGCACCATTAAGAAGACAATTACGTGTAGCAATATCTCTGAAAATATCAAAGAAGTAATGAGTAAAAGAGAAATAAGTATTAAAACAAAAGAAATGATCTAATGAAGAAAAAATTCGAATTTTAAATTCAAATATTGAAGACAAATTTATTTTACATTGTTTTATTTTATTTTACTCTACTTTATACTACATTATTATCTTGTTTACTTTTTACTTTATATTACCTAACAATACTTTACATTTTTTTTACCTTACCGATGAATACAACCTTTCAAATGAAGATATTCAAGACCACGCGCAATTTGACATGATATATCGATACGTGACTCAATACTTAGTCGATGACCATATTGTCTCAATTTATCTTCCACTGATCCATCCTAAAAATTAATCATATATTTCAAAATTAAAACTGACCGATATGAAAAGTAAATTTTTTACCCATTTGAATCAATGAGTTTTTCATTTGTAAAATTTTGATAAATTTTCTAAGCTCACAATTATTAAATAACATACCTTGCAATATTCCATAACGAGTAAAAATGGTTCCCTGTCAACGATGAAACCATAAAATTTAACAACATTAATGTGATCATATAATTGCATCACGCGTGCCTCTTTCATTAGATCAATTAAGGCCTGTTCAGATTTGTCTGCACAATCGATTCGTTTGATTGCTACCGGACAAAGATTTTTTAGTAATACACCTTTATACACCGTACCATATGCTCCATAACCAATCTATGTTGATTAATTAATCTTTTTGATTTGACACTTTCTGTTTCGATAATTAATTTTATTTTAATACAGGTGAAAAATTAATTTTATTTTAATACAGGTTTTCTTTTCAACTTTGAAAAATTTATTTTCGCAATATTTTTATCAACCTTTTTCATAATTTTAATATCGGAATGATTCAGTTCAAATCTTCCCTTCTTTATTGGTCTCTTCAAAAACAACGAATCAATCCCATATATTTCGATGTTATGCTCTTGATAATGTTTTATTAATGTATTCATTGTTGGGAATGAACGTCCCTAAAATATTCATTCATTCCACTGCTCCTCTTCATCCGGAATCAATAATTAACCGTTTTCTTGATTTTTAAAATAAACCAGTAGAAAAAAAAAAAGAGTTAATCAGGAATATTAATATTAGCATATCATATCATTTTAAAAGTGGTAAAATGATTTTTCGCCATAAAATTTCCTTCAAAATTGTTCAATTTGAAAATTTCAAAATCTTAAATGTAATTTTTACACACATACAAATATGCGATATCCTTTTTCAAGTCGTGTAATTGGTATTCTTATCGTTCGATTTCCATATTTAACGGCTAATACCAATTTGCTTTTCTTTTTACTTTGTTCAAATTTTGTTTGTAATAAAAAATCACCATTTGATTCCAGCAGTTTATCGACATCATCATCCAATAAAGCACCATGAAAAAATGGTAACAAATTCTCACCGGACATTAATTCCTCCTAATCCTGTAATTATTTTATAGTATTTTAACGAGATTTATTCAAATTTGTAAATGTAAAAGAGTTTACAGTTTACATAGTTTATACATAGTAATATAAAATAATTACAGGATTAGTTTACATAGTAATATAATATAATTAAGAATCAAAGGATCAGTTAATCTTAAATAGTGGAAGATTTGATATTCTGTATTTCCGATTTTATTCCTTAGCAATTCTATATGATGATATTACTAGAACTACTATGACAATCAAAAACATTTTTCATTCTTGTATATGTTTTGCATATAAAGCCTTAGGCCATTTTAATCAATTTTAGATTGAAATTTTAGTAAACATCTTGATGTACTATTTGGATATATCCTCGTAAGTATATCAACATGATCTATACCCGAATAAATGAAAGCAAAATCTGAATGAACCAACCGTATTGAATGAATGAAACATATAGAAAATGGCTTAACAATCAATGCTTCTTATCTTAACAGAAATTAAAAAGAAAATAGTTTATACAAATTTACAGAGTGCTATATGCTAATTTGCATATTTGTTTATTATAAAAACTTCTCCTTCTATTGATAATGTAATCTTTCATTTCACAATTTTCTTTCCATTTAATTTAATAAAATTTACGGTTTAATTCAACGATTACTCATTCTAAGGTTACAGTAATAGTAAAATTATTCAGTTTGTATAGAAATAACACAAACTATGCAATTACCTGGAATTTTTATTTCCTTATTATTTTTAAATTAATTTTCACTAAATTATTCCTACAATGTATAATTTATAATAGAAACATAGAATTCAAATAAACAGATATTATAGTTTAATGGACAAAGATTTTCACTATTTGTTGCATTGTTTTTCTGTTACGCAACACTTCTTTCCATTTCACGTTACGTTACGTTACGTTACGTTACGTTACGTTAAGTCTTGGCACAACATTTGTTTGTATTGTAGAGAGAAGGAAATAATCGTTTGTTTTGTGCTAAATATTCTTGTCGATGTATTTGTTCTCATTCAATAAATAAGAATGCAAAATGATTTTAAAAAAAGAATTAATACAATATTTCACGCGATATTCGTTATCGTATTCATACATATAGAATTAATACGTATTTCACAATATATTTTTTACGTATTCGTTACGTAAACATTCCATTTATTATATATTTTCTGCATTGTGGAACAAGAAGAAGAAGAAGTTCTAAATTTTCGTTTTTAATTTAATGTATTTATTTTGAACGATATTTGGTAGAAGTTTTAATTGAAATTTCATTAATGCAAAAATTGAAGTTTCACAAGTATTATATTATAAGAGATAAGAATATAGAATGATAAAGATAAGAGATTGATAAGTGGCCTTTTTTTGTAATAAATATTTTAAATATATATTTTATTTTAATTTAAATAAAACTACTACAATAGTAACCATTTTTTTAAATCTGTATATAAACTATTCTAGCATATTGTTTAAGTGATTTCGTTTAAAATGATTTATAGTAAAATAATCATGATTTTCAGTGATTTCGTTTGAAATATAATAATCATAATAATGATTAGTTATCGGATAATTATTCTATCCCTTACAACCATTTGTCTATCAATGATGATGGCTAATTTGCTTACATTTAATTTTTGCATAATCTGTATGACCACTGATAATTATGATTACATGGATGAAAATCTTAAAATAGCTAAACTAAATGGTAATATTACAAAGATAACGATTTAATTAATTGTTAAAATATTAAATATTAGAATTAAATTTCAATTCATAATATGCAAATTTCTTTCGAAAACTAACTTTTTTTATTAAACAAATGAGAGTTATTTGATAGAAATGATAACGATTAATTTGCTATTATAGATTTAAAATCTGAGAATGATTCTAATCAATCAATACAGCATGCTATAGTGTTGTTTCTAACAAACAGATCACAATCATCCAATCAACAATACAAACAATTGGATAATATTTCATCACAAGTGTTTTATATCCCTTTTATTTTAATTTTTCAAATAAAATTAATAAAATTGCTCAGTAGTAATTAAATCTTCTGCCGGAATAGTAATTAGTCGCTTCCAGTTAATTCTTCTTCAGGAACCAGAATTCTCCTTCCACTATGTCACTCTGTTTTTTTATATTCCAAATTAGAGTTTCATATTGGCTGTAATTTCAATTATTCATTCCGGAAACTTTTTTCTTCTTTTAGGATTTTTATTTCTATTGTTAAAACTGTCCCTACTATTTCCCTCTCTAAGTTACGTTTTTTTAAACGTTAAATTTGAGCTAAACCGGAAGTAGCTTAACAATATGCAGCGATTTGATAATACATTAGCGAGTGGTTTTGATCCACGGACCTCTGGGTTATAGGTCCAGCACGCTTGCACTCCGTCACGCTGCTCGACGGTTCCGCACTTTTTAAATTTGTAAAATTAATTAATGGAAATAGTTTTTTAAATTTTTTAAGAAAAGTAATTTGCTGTTCAGCAAATTATCTTATTACCAATTTTCCCCACTATTTTACAATTTCATTTTCGCTCTTTTAAAAAAAATTGATTAAATTTTTCAAAATTTTTTTAAAATTTTTTTTAATTAAAAAATTAATTAAAATTTTTTAAAAATTTAAGAAAAAACAAAAAGAGCTGTTACAAATGGTAATTAAACACGAATTGAAATGGTAAGAAAGAAGAATTTATACTCAGAAAAAATTTTTTCAACAATGACTGTCAGCAATAGATTGATTCATTTAAAATGAAAAATTTCATCTGAAAATATTTCAGAGAGAAAAGAATAAATCAAAAAAATGAGAAAAGAAATTTGTAATTTTATAAATTAATTAATAGCCTTTTTCCTTAAATATTTTCAGGATATTGAAATTTTATCCATATATTCAAATGATACAATTTTCTATCGTCAACGTATTATCCGGAAATCAGCGGATTATACGTATACGTCATTTGAACAGTCGATCCTGTTTGCAGCTATTGCAATTGGTGCATTACTTGCTATTCTTCCAATAAGTTACAGCATTCAGCATTACGGAACAAAGTAATAATAGCTGTATTTCTGATTGAAATAATCCGGAATTTTTATCAAAAACATTCGTTCGTTCAACTCTAATAAATATAAGACTGGACAAGTTTTAATTTTCAATCTCTAAATTAGAAATTTAATTGTTTTAATCTAATTTCTGAAGAAAAAATTAGTTCAGGAAAACATTCGCTATTGTTATGATTATTTCTGGAATATCGACAGGATTATGTCCTTTAGCTGCTTCCTTTGGTGTCATCTATTTGATTATCAGTCGAATTTTGCAAGGTTTTATTCGTTTAAAATATATCGAAATTATACGAATTTCGAGAGTTTTTAGAAAATACGTTTACCAGATAGAATTATCCGGAAAAATTTTTCGCATGCAAAGAATTTCAGGTATTGGTTTTGCATCATGCATGCCACTTATTGGTTCAGTAACATCAACTTGGGCAAAACTTACCGAAAATGGATTATTTAGTGGAGCACTAACGAGTTTCATTCAGGTTAATTAATATGACTTCCTTTTCTCAAAAAAGTAGAAATAGATCATTGCAACTTTTCACTTTCTAAAATTATTATTATCATAATTGGCAGGAAATTTAAATACCTAATATTTGGACTGATAAAGAAGTGATAATAAGAGTTGAGATGATAATCTAAAAGATAATCTAAATAACGGAAAGTAAGTAATAACCTTAAAGAAAAACATTTGATTAAATGAAAATTCAACAACAACAACAACATTAAAGGGATAATTACGTATTGTCTGTCTAATGAAACGTTGATTAATTAAACGTTATTAAACGTTAAATGATTACAATAATATTTTCAAAAAATAACTTGAAAGGGTATAAGTAATTCGTTATTGAAATAAAATCAGAATTGTATAAATGTGAAGAGATATGAGTAATTAATTATGTAATTAAGTTAAGTAATAATTTTTTATCATTTTAGAAAATGACTAATTAAATTATTATGATAACATTTTCTATGATATAATAAAAAAATCGTTAATTTTGTTTACGTGAGAAGTCATTAAATTTGTTAATATAGAAATAACGAAACTAATCAATAACCAACCGACTAATCAATCGATACAGCAACGTTCATACATATAATCTCATCTTTTTAAGTCTTATTATTTGTCACTTCAGACTTATAAACAATATCTATAAATTACAACTTCAGAAATGAGAAGTGGTGGGTGACCTTTGGCATTGCAATTTAGAAAAACACCTATGAAGTTTTTGCAAAGGGATGGGTCTGGAGGTATTGACAAGGCTGGCTGATGCCGACGGCTCGCAAGCGCTATCCGACCACTGTCATGACGCGGGGACTTTTGCCTGCTGCCTTTCGGCCCTGAGCCGTACGCCCCTCATTATACGACCAGGTGCCGAGATGACACTCCTGTCTCGGCACCTTGTCGACGCCACGCTTGGTCTGGACGCTCGGTCGCCACCGCCAAGCATTAGCCAGAACTCCTCCTCTCACTCCATCCACCACCACATGCCTCCCAGTCACTTGGATTACAAGCGCTCGCCACAACGCCCGGCGAACTGACAAAATTTATTTACCTATATACATTCTCAACTTTTTAATATCTTACGTTTCTTCTATTCAATGAAAATTTTTATCAAATATTTCAATTCTATTCATTGATATTAAATTATTCACATTTATCAAAGCTTGGTCCTGTAATAACAATGCCAATGTCTGGCTTTTTATGTTCAACAAGCCAAGGATGGCCAATGGTTTTTTATGTTCATGCAACAATAACATTGATATTCCTTATGTTATGGTGGATATTATACAGGTACTCAATAAATGAAATACTAAAATACTCATTTTCACATTTAGCTATATTATTGATTTTGAGTATTTCAATTAATATTTCAAATAATTTTATGTATTTTTTACTTTTTCAAAAATTTCAAATTTAAGAAAAAGAAAAGAAGAAAACTGAAATATTATTTCAACAATCTTATATATTATTTATAATTTTTTTTTTTAGTTTATTTTAATTGTTTTATTTATATATAATCAAATAATTATATTAATTACAAAAGCACATCCTAATTAAAGCGATCAACCAAGTGATGCTCGTTGGATTACCGCTTATGAATTAAATTTGATAAATGATGGAAAAACTGTTAAGACGAAACAAAGTGATGAAAAGGTTCGTTAATTATTATTAAAAATTAATAGTGAAAATTTATAAATTTACATTTTAAAATTAAATTTAAAAAAAAACAAAAAGATAAGTGTTAAATCAAATTACATTATAATTAGTTTAAAAATTTGATTTATAAATAAGTGTGATTATATTTTAAGGTACCATTTCAAGAAATTTTTCAAACCTTATCCGTTTGGGCTATTTGGATTGCAGCTGTCGGTAATATGTACAGTATTCAAATGGTCGTTGTTTTTGCGCCAACTTATATAAGTCAAGTTAGTTTAAATTTCATTTTTAACTACGATAATGCGATAATTAAATGAAATGATTTTTAAATGTGATTTTAAAGTAAAGAAAAAAGGAAAAATGAGATTGTCTATTCCTTTTTAATTGAAATCGATAATTTTGAGGTGCTTGGTTTACCGATTGTAAGCGTTGGTTTAACTGCAGCATTACCGACTTTGTTGCAATTTGCAATTAAAATGTTAGCTGGTACTACAAGTGATAAAATTACATCACTTAGCGAAACTGCTAAGGTTAATTTCAATTTGTTCAATTAATTTAATCATCAATACTATTACTTTTACACACGATATGATTTGACTGAAATTGAACTAAGGACTTATTTGAAAGATTTTTTTTTCTACTTATATTTTCCGGCAAAGATATGAAATACTGAATGATTATTTTTGAATCAGATTTCATTTCAGGTTCGCTTATTTAATACCATAGCATTCCTTGGTATGGGTATTTTCCTTATTGCCCTAGCATATACACCAGCTAATCGAACAATTACAGCACTCATTTTCCTAATTAGTTCAACAACAATTCTTGGCTTCAATACGGGTGGTTTTTTCAAAAGTTCCACATTGGTAGGTCGACAGTATAGCTATTTCATCAATGCCATCGTGCAGGTAATTTTCTTTAGATGTATAAGAATTCATAATTTCTTCCATCATTCAACTATTCTTTTCAATAATTTATAATCATTGTTATTCTAATGAAACTGCTGCATCATTTAAAGAATGATAAGTTAAATTTCAGCTGGTAATGTGTATAGCTATGCTTACAGTACCGTTTATTGTAACCGCATTAACACCAAATGGCCTATCTGAGGAATGGTACTATGTATTTATCCTGCATGCCAGTTTTCTGTTTATCACCAACATAGTATTTTGTAAATTTGGAAAAGGCACCGCAGCCGCATTTACATGTTGTAATGGAATACCAATTGATAATACCACCGATAAACAGCTCGAACCAGTATTTTTGTAAATTTAAGCATATTATTTTCATGCATACTACATTTCAATTAAAGTGGTTACATTACAGTTTCATCGAAATTGTATTCGTTTTTTTGGATCAAATGTTAGGCAATTATGTCTTCACATGCGTCTTGGATTTAAAACCCATGAGATTCCCTTTGAGTTATAGGTCAAATAACCACATGTAAATTGAAATCACTTTTGAAATCTTAAGCGATATTTCGCGTTTACTTATTTTTGGGAGTTACACTTCTGCAAAGAATTGAATTCATTAATTCCCGATGAGATTTGAACTCTTGTGGCAGAGATTCAGAACCCTAAGTACTAACCACTACATCACCAGGTGATACGTTTGACCTTTCAACTTTAACTTTACAGGTTGACATAATACATTTAATTTTGTTGTTATGTTGTGACATATAATGATAGCATTATTAAGTTGAAGTTGAATGTTGAAGCTTGCCACGTAAGTTTTGAAGTTTTTCACGTGAGTTCAAAGCATTTCTCGACATGAGAAAGTTGACAAATACGACTGATATAACCAGGTCATGTTTTCTCATTCATACGTACATTCGAAATTTGTTTCGGTTTATTGCACAATTTTAAAAGAGGTGATTTAACGATTTTAAAAATTATTCTGGAATTGTTTGTAACTTTGATCAGTCCAAACCACTATACTTTCCATTTTAGCATACTATATTTCATCTGTTTATTATACTGTCTTTTTTCAAGCTTGAAGATAACTTGTTTGATGATATTTGTTGAGGATTAAAGGTTTTTCGGTATTAACCGGATCTTTCCTGAATTTTGTATTTCAAACTGCATTGCTACAAGCTGAACGATATTTCAAATTTTTTTATTGGAAAAAGAAGACTATTTACATATACGGAAAATGAATGATATATATGTATATATATATATATAAATTTATGATATAAGAGGGAAGAGAGAGAGATCATAGTGTTTGGATCATTTTTAACGGAATTATATTACCAAACCGAAATGGTAAATCTCAGAATAAATCCCTAAATTTTAACAAATATAAAAAATAATAATTTGAATTGTTAAATTTTAAAAATTTGAAATTACTAGTTAGCATATATGTTATAGATATGAAAACTAATATTGTCATTGTTATCAATCAAAGATAGCTCTAAATATTTTACCATCTGATATATATGCTATACACATAAAATTAACTTATCAATTAATTTAACATAAAGTAACTTCGAAAAAGACGAAAATTTAATTAATTGATAGTAATACAAAAAAGTAATGGTTGAAATTTTAGCAAACGAATAGCAAAATAGTTTACTTAACTTCTGGTTGAAAACAATTTCATTTGCTGATTTCTACATTCATTTCTAATTAATATTTTATTAATTAACAAAATGCTTCTTCTGTTTACTGCAGGAAAAAATTTCTCTACCATTTTGATATTAATACCATTTCATAGTTGGATATGATTCCGAAATTTTAATTTAAAATTGATGAATGATGAAAATTTAACAAATAATATTTAACAAATAAAGAAACAATATTCAGGCTGGCACCATTTCAATGATATATATAAATTGAAAAATTAAACTATGTTTAATGAGAAATAAAGAAATAGAATAAATGTAGAAAATACGGCAAAATATGAACAATTAATGAAAACAATAAGAAAAAAAGAAATAAACAAAAAGAAGTGTTATTTATGCAACGGTAATATTATGCATTAATTATTAATTATTAATTTGGCATTGTTTCAAAAAATAAACAATATTTTTTATCAATATGTCTTACAATTAAGTGAGCATTTAATTATTTACATTATTTTAATTTCAATGAGCAAATTAAATTAGTTTAGCTAGTCACCAAATGGTTGATTATTGACGAAGTGCAACTTTGTTGAGGCAGATGAAGAACGCCTTTTATTTGTTAAATTTGATTTTGTCTTCACCACATGATGAAACATTCCAAGTGCTTGCATCACCTGTAATTATGCAATTAAAAATCAGATCTTTTAATTTCTTAATTAATTTGTCTCGGAATATCAAATATAATTGAAATCTGAATTATCTTAAATTTCATCTAATGAAACATTTCATAATCTATTATCGTTATATTTAAGTATTTCAGATAATAAAAGCCAGAAAAAAAATCTATTCAAAAGAAAAAAAGTATAAATGTATTAATTAGGATTATCATCCGTTATCAATTAGGATTATTATTATCATCATTATCATGATTATCATCGGTTAACAGCACTATATAGTATCGCGCACATCAAATTTCTTGTAAAAAGGTCTTGATGATAAAAAAAATTATATGTACATTTTCACGTTGATATTCCGGAATTCTGTTTAAGTATTTGGTTGAATCAGTTTTTATCATTACCTGAAAATTAATGCAATTTAAAAATAACAATACAAATGATAAGGAAAACAAATAATTATATATTTTATTAGCAATTTTAATTATCTGTAAAACTTACATGTGTATTTTCGGGATTTAACGAATCTTTGACCTCTACCATTCGTATACCATTGTAATCGTGTATTTCACGATTTTCTGAACGTGATATTCGATTCTGACGACGATTTTGAATTTCTTCAATGTTTAATTTTATTTTCGGATCTGTTGCTTCCGTAATTATATCATCCAAATCATGTAATACATCATAAAGCATTTTTGGTGAAACCTAGAAAAATTTTTTGAAAAAAATTACAAACAATTTTATGACTTATCAAGATTTGCTTATCAAATAAAATGATGAAAAATAAGGCAAACTATTTTCATTTATATATTTGTTTATATATTTAATCCATTTTATTTAAAAGCATAAAAGAAAAATGGATTAATGCTAATTAAAATGGATTAACACTAATTAGCATTTAACATTAACTAAAATGGATTAACGATAACTATGTAAATTTGCGCTAACTAAAAAAAAAGAAGAAAAGAAAGAAGATTGTTACAATATTTAATGTTGTAATTTATTCAGGTAATAATTAATTTAAATTGCACATTAGGCATGCCGAATATCTATTAACATTAACAAAGTATCAATTTTAGTTTATGAATATGAAAGCTTACAAAAGCTTATCATTTAAATAATATATCTCACCTTATCAATTATTCATTTAGATTATTATTAAAAAAGTTTTAATTTATATATATCACAGAAAATAGTTATTAATAATAAAAAGAATGAAAAAAATGGTCGGAATAAGAAATAAACATTTAAGGTTTTTTTTCCTACAAAAATAAGAAATAATTTTACTAACATTAAATTCATCTGCAACAATATAAAGTAATTCGGAAACAGACATTTTAGTACCACCAAACCATACTTCAACATGAGCTGCTCCACTAAAACTACGTCCTAAATAGTGTAGCCTTCGGAGGTAATTATAAAGTGAAGCAATAAATGTTGACATTATTACCTGAAAAATAGAATTCTTTGATAAGGCAACTTATTCGGTTATATAATTATTAATTAATCATATTTTTAAAATTAATTTTAGAACAAAATATAATTATCCTTTTTTCAAATTATAAAATTTAAACTATTTATTTACACTTTCATTAATCCTTTAGAACAATTGAAAAAGTTACATTGCAATTTACTATAATTTTTCAAATCCATCAGTATCACTTTGAATCTTAAAATCCATTTTAAGTTCATTTCAAAATTTGCTCCATTTTTTTTCAAATGAAATTTTATAATCAATTTCAAATATCGCTTACCATTCCAATTGCGAGATAAAGGACAATAATTAATGTTTGAATGGCATCATTTGGTGTTGGTGTTATATCGCCATAACCAATTGTTGTAATTGAAACAAAACTGAAAATTAAAAACTTAAAATACATTAATACGAAAAAATTTGATAAATAAGTAAGCAAGCAAAAGTTGCCGCATTAATTAATATTAAAAATTTTAACTCAAAAATGAGAGCAAATTAAAAGGAAAGAAGCAATTAAAATGGTAGCAAAGAATTAATTTCCTAGTTTGAATGAAAAGATCAATCAATCTCATCTGTAAATGAATAAATGATAAATGTTAAATGATAAATGATAAATGTATGATTAACCTAAAATAAATTGCTGGAATAACTGGCATTTGATCAATCCAAAAATGAAATAATAATCCACCGATAACTGAATGTGTTAGTAACAATGTTACAACGATCGGTAACGGTAAACGACGCTCATCTGGTGCATCGATGTTCTGAAATAAAGTAATAAAAGTATTTTCAAATTTAAATTTATTGAATTATAATTGATTACTATTTACATGTTTTGTTCTCAATTAATTCTGTCTAAAAAAACTTTATAACTATATTTGATTAATTTCAAATTAACCTACTACTATGCATTACTTTTGGAGCTTCAGTTTTTTAAACCTAAATTTTCATTAAAAATTTTTGAAAGAAAAATTAGATTCTGAAATTTCGTAGATAACATCTTTATGATATTTGGATAAGAAATTTTCGGATACTTTGGTGACTTCTTTTTCAGTACAATTTTTGTCTAATCTTTTTTTGTATTACTAAAAAATACTTAAGTAATACCTGGGTCCTTTGTAGTGATGCCAGAAAAATCCAATAAGCTTCGGCAATAAACTGACCAATATTTGTTAGTGATAAAAAAAGAAGCGGTACACCAACTAATGTATAAAATATGCAAAATAATTTACTTGCATCTGTTGTTGGAACGATATTACCATAGCCTAAAATAATTACCATAGTTACCTAAAACAATTTTTTTCAACTTCTGTATGGTACCGTAATTTGGACATATATTATAGATTTAACAAATTATAAGATCAATATCTTAAATAAATCAAAAATAAATTTTTATATTTTATAGCAATCATTGAAGAATAATTAATTACAATTGCAAATGGATAAATGGAACAATTTCATAGTTTGTGAATAAATCTTCCTTAGAAGATTACTGTATGATCAAGTACATTTCGTAATAATGTAATACTATCAGGAAATAATTATAACGAATGATTAAAACAGTACTGATAGTCATAGTTACCAACGAAATGTTGTAGAATTGGCCATTTCTACCTCACGCATAATAATTCCAATATGTTTTCTATGCTTTAGTTAATATGAAGCATTTTAAATTTAGTGATAATTTCAATATAAAATATTTCCAGCTTTAATTTAAGTATATATCGTTTAATTACAAATATATTATTAAATTAACCAATCAATCAAACAACTAATCAATTAATTACTAATTTACCCAATTCGGAAGACTAATTTAATTTTCAGAAATTATAGCGTTGTATTTTAAAAATGATTAATAATTTAGCAATAATTATATAATAATTAAATTAATTATTATAAAAATGTATGCATTCTTTTTTGAGTGAAAAAAAAGAAATTTCAATCATTAATAAATGAAAAGTTTTAATTAATTAATGAGTTGGCATTGTTTTTTTGTTTTGAATAATTTTGAATTTAAAAATACAAAAAAAAAAGAGAGAAATGAATTAAAACATACCAACGGTAGCAATGGTAGTAAAGGTGAATTGTATAACGTTGTAAAATTTTTCACGCTTTATATTTTCATCAATTAGTTGAAATGCAACAGCGCCACCAATAACATAAGATGTTAGAAATAAATTGATCAATAAATGAGGTACTGATTCTACGAAAAACTGTAAATTAAGATTGTTTACTCTTTTTTTTTTCAACAAATTGTTTACTGTTGTAAAATTAAAATGCTCATATAAACAACAATAATTAAGCAATAATTATAATTTATTGAATTTTATTTCATAAATAAATAATTATGGTTTGACAATAAATAAATAAATGTTTGAAGAAAAAATATTAAACTAATATTTATTGTCAAATAATTTTGATTGATAATAAAATTATTTACAATAAAAGAATGAGCTAAAAATAAATCATTAAATGAGGAGAAAGAGAGAAAAAAAGATAAATAAATTAATGATATTTGAAAAGTCAATAATTTAAATACTGAATTTAATTTAATTATAATTAAGTTTTAAACAAAAATTGTTATTTAAAATAAAAATTACAGTAATTTAATTTTGTGCTAATTGTTATCGAATTGATTTCTTTGTTTTGCATGAAAGTTTTATAATATCCTATAAATTATAATAATTTTTTTATAATTAAATTAATTAATTTATTTTTGTGCTAATTGTTATTGGATTGATTTCTTTGTTTTTCATGAAAGTTTTATAATATCCTATAAATTACAATAATTTATTTATAATTAAATTAATTAATTTATTTTTGTGCTAATTATTATTGAATTGATTTCTTTGTTTTGCATGAAAGTTTTATAATATCCTATAATTAACTAAAAACAATTTTAAAAAATTATAAATCACAATAAATTATATGAATGAATAATAATTTAAAATAAATTATACATTAATTAAAAAAGTCAAAAATGCAAACAAAAGTTAAATTGAAAAGAAACAAAGATTGGCATATAATATTGTTTATAATTATTTATAAATATAATGATACTGTAGATATAAATATTTTTTTTAGCTTGTAGAATAAAGCTAACTGTTGCAAAAATTTGAATGGAAGGAGAAGAACGATACTGATAAATACGTGAATGAAAAGCGTTCACGTACGTGAAAGATAAAATTGATAATATAAATAAATTTTTTAGAATACTACGTAATAATTTTCAATCATAATCAAATTATCCCAGTTTATATATTGCAACGAATTTTTCTAAGATATTATTTTATCATCGAAAATCTTTTTTTTTCTAACTGATAAGATTTAATGTTAATAGTTGTTTTATTTATAGAAGATGTTAATATATTAGGTAAGTGAAGAAATTTAGCATAAAGATATGGAATGATAACAAAAACATAAATTTAATCGATTTATGCTATAGCAAATTCTAAATCATTTATAATTAATTCATTTATAATTAATTAATCAGTGCTAATTTAAGTTAATCTTTAAATAATATGCTAAAAAGCAAAAATGAGATCAATCAGTTGAATCTTATCTTAAAACAAAATTAAACTTCTTGATTAAATTATCAATTAATTAAAATTAAGGAAGGATAATCGATTTTTATTTTCATTACTCAACTAATTGAAAGTTAATTAGCTGTAAAAATTTCTATTTTAAAACTTCAAGTAATCACCGTCTTCTTCCTCTTACTCAATAACTTTGCAATATATAACAGAAAAATAATTTTAATTTTCATTTCAATTGTTTTCTTCTAATTAAACATTTGAAAACATTTAGCTGACAGACATACATACCTCTTTCCATAAATCTTTTTCTTGACAGCTATGATCTTCCATAAATTTTTTACGCCATATTGCATAGAATGAATAATTTTCCCAATAATTTTTGAATTTTTCTAATTGTGATAAAGCACGACTTTTCTTCTTCATCGGAAAATGCATTCGCATCAGTAAATCGTACGGATTAAATGATTCTTCCGCTTCCTCCCGGAAATAATCGCTGTACAACAGATCATTCCTATCCATTCCTTCATCGTTACATTCAAAAGTTGGCTTCAAAGAAAATTATGAATGAAATTTTTCATTTAAAATAAAATGTTAAATTAAACTTCCAAAAATAAATTTATCTATTCTCATTATTAATTCAAAAAATTTCTTACAAATAATTTAACAGATATCATTTATTAATTAATCTATTACTAAAATTTCATTCTATACTTTATAAATATCGAAAACTGAAATTTAAAATTTGAAATAAATTAAACCTCGAATTTAAGAGGAACAAGCGCATCATTTGAGGATTCATTCGAAATGGTTGGTATTGTAATCGAGTTTCGCAATTCTGTTGAAACTTCCGGTTCATTAACATCATGAAAACCGGTTTCGTTTTTTCCTGCTGAAAATTAGAGTATATCCGAATTATTAGATGATGATACGTTGTGATAAATTTTGATTTTAAACATTCCGATTACATTTTTGATGATAAATTTGAAGTTATTCAAATCAATTTTTACATTCAATCCTTTTTGCAATATCGATTTTTATGCAACAAATTTTTTGTTCCAAATTTTTCTCGAGGAAAATTGATTTGAATTGTTGGAATGATAAATTACTTTACTCAAAGAAGTTGAAGAATTTTCTTTGAATTGATCACCGTGTTCAATCATTAGCAAATCAATTTTTGTTGTAAACGATTCTGTAATTAAGGAAAATGAATAATTATATTAATGGAAAAATTAGTGAATTATATCCTATAAAATCCTATAATTCATTCTTTTTATAATTTTGTTAATTAACTTAATAATTTCATTTCTTTTTCATAATAATTTATAATTTGCATAATTAACACTATCGTAATTAAAGAATTAATTAGTAGAATGAAATAATTAATAATAAAAATTAAGTTTATTTAATAAAAAAACAACAAGAAAAAAATGGAAAAGAAAAAGACGACTGATTGACTAGCCAACAATGGTGGTGGTATTCATCATAAATGATGTTGATGTTGATGGCGCTGTTGATAGCAGTGATGGCGGTGGTGGTTGTGGTAATGATATTGAAATGGTAGCGAGATGGTTGTGGTGGTTGTGATGATGATTGGTCGTATTTGGCTGTCTTTTGCTGTATGTTAATAGTTGTGATGATTATAATGACAACGATAAAGATATGATATTGATGATAATGATAATGATAATCATAATGATGGTGCATATATGGAATGAAATGGAACGGTATCAAAAATAACGAAATGTTTTTTTAAAGTTAAAAGAAAAATAAATGATTATCAATAAAATTTACTTTTTTTCTCTTCTTCTTTGTCGTCTTCGTTTCCTTCATTGCTCTCTTTTTCTTGAAATATAGCAATTAAATAGAGGAGGGAAGAGAGAGAGAGGAATTTTACACGTGATACCGGTTTTAATTTATATCCTTCTCCTCTCATTATTATTACTTTTAGTATTATTGTTATTATTATTATTATTGCGATTAATTATTATTATTAATTATTTAGTATTATTGCTATTACTTATTATTATTATTAATTATTACTATTGTTATTAATTATTATTTGTTATTATTACAAATTATTATGTATTTTGCAAAATAAGTGCCCACAAATGAATCATGGGAAATTGTCAAACATTTGAATTAGTCTGAAATTATTGATCTTTTCCATAAGAAACTTTTAACATTCCTTTTCCTCAGAAGATAATGGCGAA